AGCCCACTGCTTGGTTCAGGGCTGAGGAGTACTGAGGCTGCTGCTGTGATGTGTTCAGGAAGCTATGTACGGCACCATGTTGGCCCCTTCCGTTAGCTATGATCTGCTTGCATTGCATAGAGAAACACAGAGACCCAGTGAGATCACTGAATCTAAAATGAGGTATGCAATGAAACGGAAAAGGTTCTGTTTACATTTTTTCGTCAAAATAGCAGAGTATTAGCAGATTAAAATTCAGCTTTAAACAACTCGTATATTCCCGTTTTGTTGGAAAATTTTGAAAGACTATCAATTTCTGATTAAACTCCAACCAAAAACAAATACAATTGCAAAAACTCCTGTAGTTTGGTTTGACCCATCGTGTAATTACCTAGTTAGGCTTGTGACCTCTCTGCATGCTACACTGCAGGTACAGTGGATACAGCGATTAAACAAATCCACCTATATACTTTGGATGGATGTAGACTGCAGATAAACAAATACAAAGTCCCGAATTACAGCTTTGAATGAGCTTTATACAGCTTGAATGAGCTTTCAAAAACGTTGGGTGTGGTGGGGGGGACGAAGAGCGTTGCGGTGCAGAGTGGGGGGGACGAAGAGCGGGGGGGGGGGGGGGGGTTGGGGGAGAGGGGGGGGACGAAGAGCGTTGCGGTGCAGAGTGGAAGAGCGTTGCGGTGCAGAGTGGGGGGACGAAGAGAGCGTTGCGGTGCAGGGTGGGGGGGACGAAGAGCGTTGCGGTGATGCAGGGATGGGGGGACGAAGAGCGGAGCGGTGCAGAGTGTTGGGGGGGGACAAGAGCGTTGCAGAGCAGAGTGGGGGGGAGCGGTGCAGGGGGGGGACGAAGAGCGTTGCGGTGCAGAGGGGCGGGGGAGGAGAAGCGCTGCAGTGCGCGCCGGAGCGTTGGGGGGAATGAAAGAGCGGGGGGGCTGCATTGCAGTGCGCGGATTGGGGGGAGGAAGAGCGCTGCAGTGCGCGCGGATTGGGGGGAGGGAGAGCGCAGCAGTGCGCGGAGTGGGGGCTGATTGGAGGGAAGGCATCCCCCCCCCCCTTCACACAGCACACAGGACCAGAGCCAGGACTGTCAATCACAGGCTGTGTGCTGGAGGTCCTTCCCAGTCACCTTTTGTCGGTGTCAGGAAGGAAAACTTGTCCTCAGCAGAGGAATGAGTCTGCAGACAGAATTGACACTTTGGGTGCTCCCGATTGATACAAGTACACACTATAGAGGGGTTTGCTTTGTTCATATTTCAAGTCTGAGGTTTACAAACACTTCACGTTTAAGCCAGAAGCTGTCCGTTATTGAAGGATGAATTCTCTGGTTATATACATTGACACGAGTCCATCAGATTCTTTCCACCAAAGTCATCAGCGGGATACGGATGAGGGTCATCCTTACACCATCTCCTGTAAACGTGTGTAAAGCAGTAGAGCCCGGATTGGCTCAGAGTGCTGCCACTCCCTCTCTCCCCAGTCTGAGCACTGCTGTATAGAAATGGAGGCTGATTATGAAATGCATATTTAGATACTCAAGTTGGTCCTCTTCAATATTATGATGAGGGCAGAGGAAATATTCACCAGCCCAGTCTGGCGTCACGCTTTTAACCTGTAGCCGCCCACTTAAAACATGCGGCAGCAAAAAGGCGGATCTAAACGCCCACTAGCTGCGCATGTGTTGCGGGGCAGACCATGTTTCTATATTGATAGCATGCTCCCAGCACAAAGACCGACATCCCTGGATCGCCTCTAATCAGTAGCTGGCGGGACTGGATCCCAATCGTGTGACACCCAATCACCATAATCGCAAGATTGCTGATCCTTCCTGCCCCCCCCTGGAGTTCAGAAACTTGTAAAGGGTTGCGGGGCAGGAAGGGGTTAATACCGCACTTGTTTCCCTTGCTGATAATACTCAGGATGTAGAAATGATTCACAAAAACATTCTTTGGTTATTTCTCACTGACAAATGAGGATTCATGTAGCACAGCGACAATCTAGGGGCTTAGTGGGGACATGGGAGCCGAAGACAAAGTCAGAGGTCACTGAGCCCACAACAATGGGAGGTTTTAGGCCAGGCCAGGGCCACGTTTCTGCATGGATGTGTCAGAGGCTTACGTGCCGGTGTGTTCTCTATTCTATGAGGAGGCCGACCGGCGGTTTCCCTGTTTGCGCGCTGACCTAGCATTCACTTTCTTCTTGAATTTCCCATGAACGAGAGAGTTAATCAGAGTCTTGTGGCATGTGAGTGCAAAATCCTGTGTGTGTGTGTACACACGCATACGCCTGACCTCGGGGGCCCCATGTCAACTCCATTTCCCCAAAACAGGAATTGTTTTGTAGGTTCGTCATCGCCCCGTGGTTTTATGGGTAGCTGAACGCTTTGCTTTCTAACAATTGTTTTCACTGGCAATTCTGTGTGGAAAAAATAAACACAAAATATGCTTCAGAATTTTCAAGTAGTACAGTTTAGAAACGTAGACATGAGAACTCTCGGGATGGGTCCAAGAAATAGCCGTTGTTTTCTTTCTCATGGAAATGTTTAGCGAGGGGTTTTCCTACAGTGGAAAATCTGAAAAACCTCCTAGGTTTAGTTGATTTACATATTCAAGAACCGTTAACTCCCCAACCTCCCCCCCCCAAAACCTGCACTAGCAATACAGCCAAACGTATGAGGACACTTCACCAGAAACAACCTGAACTCAATCTGGTGAAGGGTTCTGTCCGTGGGCCTCGTTCACAGTGAGGTTGGGGGTGGGGCTGTAAAACTCCACCGAAGACCGCTACCCTCTTGGCATAGGAAGCAGCCCCAGGGGTGTACTTTTCTTTGTGGCCACATCAGCATTATACCCCCTCGAGTGTATGGCGCTTCTCTGCAAGTGCCCCTCAACCGCATGCCAGTGCAGGATCAAGAGGTTAATGTAGTTATGTTAAAGGTGGGGGTTTTTTTTTTTACCTTCATGCATTCATACACGAAGGTAACAAAACTGTATGTATGCCGCTCGCCCCCCCAATACTTGCCTGAGCCCCCCTCAATTCAGCGATTCTGAAAAGGAGCCTCGGCTGTACTGGTCTCATCCCCTCCCCCTCACCCCTCCCCCTCCCCTTCCCCCCTTCCCGCTTCCCCCTTCTCCCCTCCCCTCCCCTCCCTCCCTCCCCCCCTCCCCTCCCTTCCCCCCTCCCCCCCTCCCTCCCTTCCCCTTCCCCTCTCCTTCCCCCTCCCTCACCCCTCACCCTTCCCTCCTCCCCTCCCCCCTTCCTCCCTCCTTGCCCTTTCCCCTCCTCTCCCTCCCTACCCTTCCCTTCTCTCCCTCCCTTCCCCTTCCCTCCCTCCCCCTCCCTTCCCTCTCCCCTCCCTTCCCTTCTCTCCTCTCGCCCTTCCCCTTCCCCTCCCTCTCCCTTCCCTTCCACTCCCTCCCTTCCTTCTCCCTTCCTCCCTCATCCCTTCCCTTCCCTCTCCCCCTCCCTTCCCCTTCCCCTTCCCTCCCTTCCTCCCCTTCCCCCTTCCCCTTCCCCCCTTCCTCCCATCCTCCCTTCCCCTCCTTTTCCCCTTCCCCCTCCCCTCCCTTCCTCTCCCCTTCCCCTCCCTTCCTTTCCCCTTCCCCTTTCCTCCCTCCCCCCTCCCCCTTCCCCTCCTCTCTCCCCCCCCTCCCTTCCCCTCCTCCTCTCCCCCCCTCCCTTCCCTCTCCTCCCCCCTCCATCTCTCCCTCTCCTCTCTCCCCCTCCCTTCCCCCCTCCCTCTCTCCCCCTCCCTTCCCCCTCCTCCTCCCCTCCTCTCTCCCCCTCCCTTCCCCTCCTCTCCCCCCTCTCTCCCCCTCCCTTCCCCTCCTCTCTCCCCCTCCCTTCCCCTCCTCTCCCCTCCCCCTCCCTTCCCCTCGCCTTCCCCTCCTTCCTCTCTCCCCCGTCCCTTCCCCCTCCTCTCTCCCCCTCCCCCCCTCCCTACCCCTCTTCTCTCCTCCTCTCTCCCCCTCCCTTCACCTTCTCTCTCCGACGGACCCCCTTCCCTTCCCCTTCTCTCCTCCTCCCCCCTTCCCTTCCCCCTCCCCTCCCTCCTTCCACCCCCCCCCCACTCCCCCTCTCCCCAAGGGGGGTCCTTCCCCCCCCCCTCTCCCCCCCCTCCTTCCCCCTCCCCTCTCCCCCCCCCTCCCTCCTCCCCCTCCTTCCCCTCCCCGTCTCCCCCTCCCTCCCCTCCCTCCTCCCCCTTACTGCTATTTTTTGGCTCCTACTCAAGCTGTCAATCAAGGCCAATGAGGAGAGGGGGGGGGGAATTGGCTGAAGCCATGTCTGTCTTATGGAGACGCAGGCTCAGACTGAGCACTGGCACCAGTGCCCCCATAGCAAGCATCCTTGGCTGTTGGGGCACTGGTCAAAGGGGAGAAGCCAGTAGCGCGGCAGGGGACTTGAGGAAGGGGGGTCGGGGTCGGGCTGCTCTGTTGCAAAAGCAACTGCACAGAACAGAGCAAGTATGTTTAAAAAAAAATAAAATAAAAAGCTTTTAATATCGCTTTACAACAGGGCAGTTGTTAGGTGATGCAATAATACAACCCCTCCCCACTGGAGAGAGTGAACTAGTACCAATTCCAGCTTTCCTCCTCACTTTAAAATGTTAGCTTGGACCAAGCTGGTCAGAAGAGCAAGCCTTGTAATTTAGTAAATGGGGGTGGTTTTCAAATTAATTTCGCAATAAAATAAAGCATGGAGACATGGCAGGATGGAGGTGTTTGCTTTGAATATTAAAAATGAATTGGTGTTTATGATCTCGTGCTGCTCGGATGCAGTAATAGTTCCGCTTTAATGCCAATCGACATTGGAAAGCTATGTCCAGCAAAGCTGGTTGAGGTGCGGTGGGTGACGTGGCTCCACAAGGTTGTGATCATATTGTGGATCTCTGCGCATCTCCTCTTAACCTGCCCTAGTCTTGGAGAACAGAGCGCTTGGTGTGTTTAATGGAAAGCTTTGGGTCTCGGCACAAACCTTTTTTTTTTTTTTTTTTTAAATCTTTTTTGCAGGCCTGCGTGTGAATGGAGAGTTCGTTACGTCCTACCCTCAGGTTGTGGTCGTCCGTGTGCCTACCCCCTGGGTGCAGAGCGACAGTTGACATCACCGTCCTAAGACATCTGGAGAAGATGGCTGGGGGGCCGGCTAAATGAACCGACCGCAGGCTATCCTCAACTGTATAAATAAGTTTCTGGACTTTCCAGGAGTTGGCTGGCCATGGTGTACCCCTGCCTGATACATTCTCCTATGGTAAGTGGATGCTGGTGTGGGTACGTGGCTCATGCACATTCATTTTTAAAGGACCATTTTTCTTTTGAAAAGAGAATTTTTAATTTTTTTGTGAAAAGTTACAACATCTTCATTATAAATTTTTTTGCTTTTGAAATCTTAAACTGTTTTTATTTTCAATAAAAGGACCTTTTTATAGAACCGTGGTCTCGATACATTTATACTGATGACACTGTTTATTTTAAGGTGGCCATGAAAACTTTTCCAAAATGATCGATGAGGCTGAAGTATTGGAGTTTCCCATGGTGGTGAAGAACACTCGGGGTCACAGAGGTAAGTGTGTTTAAAGCCTCTGGTTTCCTGGCTGTATATAGACCTCTGCTGTCAATCACCGCTAGTGAGAGAGGGCCAATCCCACGGCTCTGTTTTATGAACGCATAGAGCGGGGTTCGAGCGCGAGCAAGCACCAGTTCCCCCATACATAGCAAGCAGTGTTCTGTTGAGGCACTGATCAAGGTGGAGGAGCCAGAAGTGCTGGCGGGGGGGACCCAAAAAGAGGAGGATCAGGGCTGCTCTGTGCAAAACTATTACACAGAGCAGGTAAGTATGCCATGATTTTTTTTTTGTTTTTTTAACCACCTCCCGACCGGCAGTTGCATATAAACGGCCGGATGGTGGCAGTGCAGGGTCGGTTGGCCGTTTATAAACTGCCTCCCCGCACCCTGCTTGTGCGCGCTCCCTGGGAGTGCGCAGCATCGCGATCCGGTGCCCACTGTGTCCTCCGGACACAGTGAAACGCCGATCGTCGGACGGGACCTCTGTACCAATCCTCTGTGGCCAATCAGTGATCACATGCAAAGTAGTAAGCAAGATGTCACTTGTGACATCATTGCTTGCTACGTGTGAAATCTGTGAATGATCAGAGGTCACATGGTACAAGGTTATTCACAAAAGCCTTGTACCATGTGACAAGCTGTGACCAATCACAGCTCACTCAGTACTTCTCAATGAGTGCAAGAATGCAGACAGAGAGAAAGAGAAATGATTGCTTTTACATCCTATATGGGTGTAAAATCAATCAGTGTAAAAAAAAAAAAAAAAAAAAATCACCCTCCACAAGTAGTACAGTGTCACCATGGTGACACTGTACTGCTAGGGTGACAGTATGTAAAAAAAAAAATAAAAATAAATATAAAAATTAAAAAAAAAATGTTTTTAAAAAATTATAATTGTTGGTGTAAACAACTAATTTGGATTTTTTTTTTTTTTAATAAAATTATAACGGAATAAATTTTGGCCAAGATTTATGAGGAAATATTATTAATTTGCAAGATTTTATAAAAAAAAAAACACTTTTCAAAAAATTTTTGGACATTTCATTTACATAGCAAAAAAAAAATAAAAAATCCCAGCGCTGAATAAATACCACCAAAATAAAGCTTTATCTGTCTCAAAAAAATGGTAAAAAAAATTTTCATTTGAACCCGGTGTCAGTGTGTGCATGCCGCGAAAAATTGCCCATTCAAAGTGAAAGTTGAAAGTAGTCCGACTGGAAGGGGGTGAAAGGTGTCCAGACTGGAAAGGGGTGAAAGTGTCCAGACTGGAAGGGGGGTGAAAGTGTCCGGACTGGAAGGGGGTGAAAGTGTCCAGGAAGTGGTTAAAGACTGCTTTGATATCGCTTTACAGCATTCATTTTTGGTCATGTAATCCCCTGCTGAAAGGAGCCTTCTTAGATTGGTTGAGCACCTTTTTATCAGAGCTCATGTGACAAAGTGCCTAGGCTTTGGTCATATGACCAGCGCACTGCCATTCTCTTCCAGGAAAGGTGAGCATTTCAGCTATTCCATTTTTTTTTTTTTCATCTTCATTCCAAGAAGACTGCTAAAATAGCTGAATTAACCCCATATTACTAGTCTTTTAAAATTGTAACGCCACGAGGTGTTGCAGGGGCAGCTTCCCAATTTCTTTCACTGATTGGCTGTCACTCTCCATTCTGCGGGTTTCCAGTCATCACTGTGACCAGGAACTGTCTGACAAAGCAGTCCTAGGGCTCGGAGGGGTTCGAGCGCACTCCCAGCACTAAACTAACGTGTATATAAAGCCCAGCTTTGTGCTGCCACATGTGGGAAAGCAGTTAACATTTTTTGCTTAGGATCACTGCTGTCAGACTGACTTCTGGTGTAAGAAAAGAGGAGTTTTTAAAGGTGTCATAAACAGGGTGGATTTAATTTAAATCGCTAGTGAAAAGGCTCGATTTAAATCCTAATTTTTAAAGGGCACCTGTCATCTGTCCCGCAGAGGCAGCTCCTCTGACCCGCTGTTGACTCATCAACAGTCCCATTCACTTTAATGGGACGGGCTGGTGATGCAGCAGAGGCGCAAGGTGAGTGACGTGGCGGCAGCAGGTGAGTGGATGCCCACTAACAGGCCCTTGCCACAATGGATCTAAAATGACAGGTGCTCTTTAAATGCTCATTCTTGCTGGTAGTTAGAATATTTATTTGCAAACCAAATGAAGGTTTCCTTTTTAGAATAATAAGCTGTCAGGTTAGTAGAACAGCGATATCAGCACCAATTTTAGGTTAATCACACGTAGCTGGAAAAAACTACTCAAAATTTTTATTTCATGTTTTTTCTCCTGGTTGCTGTGAAATTGTGTGAATGCATCAATGCAGCGCATGTGATCTCAGCTTGCAGAGCTTGGATTCATTGAATGAGTTTACCAAAAATTGTAAATATTGCAGAATATACCGACTCATGCTAAGATCCATTTCATGCTGAATAAACTAAAATTATTTGTGTCTTAAATAGAAAACTATCTTTTAGATGCATTTTATTAAAATTTGATAATCAAAAAAATCCGATTTTTAAATTTAAAAACAAAAAATCCAATTTAGCCTCTTCGGCGGGTATGATTCTTTCCGATTTTTGTGTGCTGAAAGCGGTACCATTTTTTTGCATGGAAATATGTAGTTTTTTTTATTGTAGGCTGTAATTTTTAGGAATAAATCAGTGAAATCTGTCCGAACAAGAGTCTAGTAAACATTCTGGATATGATAAAACTTGAAACACGAAATCATAAATTTATAATTTAATAATCATAAAAAATAATATAATAAATTTAATTAAATTATATAATCAAACCAAAAACACTGAAATGTGAAATACAGAGGCAAATTCGCACATCGCTGAGCAAAGTCGCAAAACCGGTTTTTCAGTGTCTGATGAGGAATTTCCCCCACAAATCATCACTCAATTCTGCAAGTGGTTCTGATTTACTATCGCTGTTCTCTAGCCGGTCTAAAACCGCTTGTGACGTAAAGGGACGCTTTTTGGACGCCATGGACTTTTCTAAGTTTCCAGGCAGAAATAACAGTCAAAATGCAGGCAGGGCACCGGACAAAGCATTCGGGACAAAATATATGTGAAATGCATTGAAACAGCAAAAATGACATTTTTAAAAAAACTTCAAATTTCCCGCGCCGGTTCCGGCGCCCGTACGTCCCGACGTCACAGGGATCGGAACACGGAAGCAGATGCCTGGCATCGGGAGGAGATGGCCGGGGACGCTGCAGGGGACACATCGCGGGAGCGAAGGACAAGGTAAGTGCTGCAGGGACTCCCTGAGCAACGCCGCATGGTAAGCCCGAGTGTAGCTCGGGGTTTAACCGCTCTTGGTACTCAAATTTTTACACCGAGCTACACTCGGGAAAACTGCTAAGGAGGTTAATCAAAACAAAACTTTTTTTTTTTTTTTTTTTAAATCGATTTTTTATCCATCCAGGTCATAAAATATCTAAATCCATTACACATGCCCTCCCCCAGCTCAGTCAAGATAGTTCTCAGAATGCTGATTGTGGCTCTCATCAGGGGTTTTTCTGCAGTCAAAAACTAAATGAACTGTGATCCAGAGCTCCATATCCCCATTTCAAGTCAGACTCTTATATGGGTGTCTTGTAAGATGGTGCTCACTATATTTTAGTGAAGCCTAGTTTGCTTGGGCCAAGAACCATTACCTTCACTACTGAATGTGCCCACTGCTTGTGCTGTACAAACTGCATGTATCCTCGGCTAAATACAGCACTGTGTCCTGGCAGTGGGACAGAAATTTCCCGTTCCACTCCCGGAACAAAATCAAGTCGTGCCGAGCTCTGCTCAGCCATTCACTGGAGCTTTGTATTCTGTGAATGAATACAAAGCTTCCTCTGATTGGCTATGGACGGGCCAATCATGCCACGAGCTCAGACTCTGCCATTCTGAGGACGCTTTTGTGTCTGGAAAGTGCCAGACTGTGTTCAGAAAATATTCTTCATTACATTTGATAGAAAACATGATTTAAGTGGTACCCTCGACGTCCCCTTTATTAAGGCTTTTAAAATGATAGTGGAATTCATAATTGAACCAAATATTTCCTTTGCATATAGATTTGCATATAGTACATGTAAGTTTGCAGGAAAATGCATTTTATAAATGCCCATTCACATATATGCAGATTGGATGCGGTTTTGAACCGCATCCAATCTGCATGACGTGACAAAACATTGCTTCCTATTGTGTTCACATATGCCGGTGCGGAGTCAGTCCTGTCCGATTTTCTGTGCAGTGAGATCTGGTTCAGGTGTGCGGATTACAGACTATTGACTGACTGCTATGGGAACCATTTCTAAACCGCTCATGTGTGAACAGGATAAGATCCTGTGCTAATCCTGTCCTGAACCCGATGTGAACCTGTGAAAACTACTGTATCAGCTGTGAAACCTGAGCCTCAGTCTCCGCACCGCATATATGTGAATCAGCTCTAACCCGACTTTACAGCGGGCTGATCACCTGTTGGATCAGGTTGTTTTCTTTTTTTTTAATCTATCTGTTTTAATATTACTTTGCAGGTAAAGCCGTGTTTTCTGGCTCGGGACAAGCACCATCTGGCAGACCTGAGCCATCTGATTCCGTCACGAAGCACCGTATTCTGTTCCAGAAGTATATACAGGAGTCTCATGGACGGGACGTTCGAGTCATCGTTGTGTGTGTGGCCGTGTCATCGGCACTATGCTGAGGTGTTCTACAGATGGAAGAATGCAAAGCAACTGCTCTCTAGGTGAGTACAGCGAGTAGCGTGGATCACATACAGACTGCTTTAGCAGCCTGCTAGCTGCATTAAATGGATGTTGCCTAAGGCGACAAATAATCCTTCCTTCCTAGTAGGTGGAATTTGGGACATCATTCTTAGCACAGGTTGACAAGAGGCTGGCTCATTTTGCACATTTACTTACAGGTAAACCTGAGCCAAGCTTTGCCTCTTATCTGGCATGGCTGCTACAGAATCAGGACTGGAGCCATATTGACTTAACACATTAATATATACTGAGCTTGTGGTCTGAAGGTATCCAGGTATTGGAGGTGCTGACTTATTGAAGGTATCCAGGGTACAGGAGGTGCTGACTTATTGAAGGTTTTCAGGTACTGGAGGTGCTGAAATTATTGAATGTTTCCAGGTATTGGAGGTGCTGACATTATTGAAGGTATCCATGTACTGGAGGTGCTGACTTATTAACTTCCTTCTTGCCGACCGCGCATAAGGGGGGGGGGGGGGGTTGGATGGGGATTGACGGCTTCACCCCGCGGCCGGCCAGTTCTGAGTGGACGTCATATAACGTCCCTCCCAGAACAGCGCTCTCCTGCGCGCCCCAGGGGGGCGCGCACCCGGCGATCTCCGTGATCGCTGTGTCCTACGGACACAGCTGATCACGTGATTGTGGTGAAAGGCCGATCCCACTGGCCTTTTACCACGTGATCAGCGGTGTCCAATGACACAGCTTGGATCACAGGGAAATGCAAAGTGTCGGTTCTCGGCCTGCTACTCTTCCTCAACGCTGTCAGATCACGAGTAACTTACTGCCGAGAACCGGCAGTTGTCAAGAGCGGTGGATCGGCACATGAGATCATCACGGGCACCACTGATGATCAGTGCCACTGGATGATCTCTCGGTCTCAGTCAGTGGACACGCGCAAGTTCCGCCCATGCAGTGCGCCCACTATCCCCGCGATCACCGAGTGGCGCCCGACGCACACCGCCACCCGTGCCCAGCAGTGCCCCCCACCCGATGCCCAGCAGATTGCACCCCACCCGTGCCCATCACAGTGCCCCCACACCGTGCCCAACAGTGCCCCACCTGTGCCACTCCTTGCCAAGTGCCACCGTACCTGTTTGCCCAGCAGTGCCACCCCCACCTGTGCACCACCCACCACGTGTCAGCCCACCTGTGCCTACCCACCAGTGCAGGCCCAGCAGGTAGCTGCCTAGTCGAGTGCCACCAGTCAGTGCCCAGGGGGTTGTATGCACAGTCAGGCTTGCCGTCTGATCAGTACCCATACAGTGTCCACCTATCAGTGCCCGCCTATTCGAGTGCCGCCTTGATTCAGTGACCCCCAAAATTAGTGCTGTCCATCAGTGCCAGCCTATACGTGGCCACCTCCCATTAGTACTGCCTAATCAAGTGCCTTTAGTGCGGCCTTTATCAAGTGCCCATCAAGTGCCGCCTCATCAAAACGCAAATCCATTGAAGGAGAAAAAAATACATGTTTGATACTTTTTTTATAAAAGAAAACTTTTTTTTTTTTTTTCAACTTTTCTTGCACTTTTTTTTAAATATTATAGCGCAAAAAAAAGATAAAAGTATAAGTATACGCCCAACTGTGCGATTATATAAATACCACCATAAAAGAAGCTCTATATGTGAAGAAAAATTGATCAAAATTTCATTATGGGTACAATGTTGCATGACCACGCAATTGTCAATCAAAGTGCTGGCAGCGTTTGAAAGCTGAAAAATTGGACCCCTGGTAGAGGAAGGGGGGTAAGGGTTGATAAGTGCTCTGGTATGCAAGTGGTTAAAGGCTTAACTCCGCTTTCGTTTTGAAAAATTGCCTATAAATTGCTAGTCAAGTCATATTGTAACTGTTAATAAAAATTACCTTTCCTTTGCCATCTGCAGTGTTGTATATTTCTGTAAAATGCAATATAGCTAACCTGGAGGCATTCTGTACACAGAGGTGTACAGGAATGCCTCCCTAAAATGTAATTTCCTGTTTGTGATTGGCTCACTGATTTTCCCAAAAGTCTGCACTAACATAGGTCAGATTTTTCACATCCCCTGCAACAAAAATTTAAATTTTTGGTGAGCACTCCCAAAGGGGAATAGTGTCCTAAAGCAGCAATGGGCAAATCTACGGACCCGCGGGCCGTATTCGGCCGGCGGACACTTTTAATCCGGCCAGCCTCGCGGTTGGAGCGTGATACAAAAAAAAAAACAGCCAGGGCAGGCAAACATTTGAATCATTCAGTGCGCTCAAATGCAATGATTTGGCCAGTCTCGCTGCCACTCACATCCTGATAGCCAGTGATTGGCTGTCAGGATGTGTGTAGGCGGGGCAGCGTGACGAACGTGAGGGGAGCTAGGCTCCCTCTCACAGTCCGCCCTGAAGACCGGAACGGCGCGGGAAACACGGTTGAGAGGAACGTGCGGAAAACAAAGGTAATTTAATATATATTAATTCACACATACACATCATTCATCTACTCTTGGTCCGGCCCCCGGGTCCAATATATGAACCCATTGCGGACCCTCAAGTCAAAAAGTTTGCCCACCCCTGGTCTAAAGGGATACAGAGCCTGCCACTTTTCTCAGTCCTGCAGGTGTTGTAGAAGCTGATTGGTAATTATGAAATCACTGCCCATTAGATTGTCTGTGTCCATTTGCAGAGTGAAATAGTTCGGCTCTTCAGAATAAAAAACACTGGAGTTGCTCTTTAACCTCTTCGCGTCCGGCCACATGCAAATGTGCAGCCTCCCGACGTCTGGGTCTTGACGCTGTGCGGCTGCACATTTGCGTGCAATTAACAAAAACGTGCTGACAGCGTGCGCTCTGCGCGCTCCCAGCACACATGTCCGGTACTCACGGAAAGGTCCTGATCTTTCAATCGGGACCTTTCCCGATCATGTGACGGCGAATCACGGCAGTCCACATGACCTTAAAAACCCTGCCCCGCCTCGGGCTTCTGAAACCCTTAAAGGGCCGGGGAGTGCCGGCGCCAAGGAGGTTAAAAGAGGCTGTTTCTCTGAACCTAAAGTCCAGGCAGAAACATTTTAGAGTTGAGGTCATCTTACCTTTAGCAAATGTTAGGTTGGCATCTAATGCTATTGCCATGGTTATAGCTGCTTGTATATCCTGTAGAAGGGCTTTGTGTCCTTTTTTTCTGTTTTGTATGACTGGTGGCTGCTGTTCTTGCTCCTTCCCCGGGCCACCAGTCATGCAACATCCCTCCAGTAGTTCTATTTTTTACAAGCGGCGACGTAATTGCAGCAGATGGCTGCAGTGGGAAGCACCCGGGAGTCTCAGAGCTCTTGGTCTGTCCCACCCACTAACAATAATGGCAGAACAGTGTGCAAAGACATCGGTGGAGTCAGAAGGCCGACTGCCAGTCTGATTTGCCATACACTGACACACTCCCTCCTATTGAATGCTTAGTGGAAGTAAAGGCAAAACCAAAAAACTAACTCCAAACCTTCTCCACCCACATTCTTGGCCTAATCTATCTAACCCTGTAAAGAAAAGATTGCTATACTTGCCTATTATGCAGCTGCTCCAGTCTGGTCTCCAGCAGCATCCTTTGTGTGCAGGAGAAAGCGGACAACGGCTGGGAAGTGATGTCACCCATAGACTTACTATGAGAAATGCCACCTTGTTCCTGGAGTACTTGTTCCTGTTTTTGATTTGCCCTCGCCCTGGCCTTGATTTCTACCCTGTTTTTGCAATAATTTGCCCTCCCCTGGCCTTGGAATTCATACCTTTCAACTGTGTTTTTTTTTTTTTTCATCATGTACATGCTGCTCTTCGATTACCATCTTCCCCGCCACCCTCACCACCATCTTTTTATTTAACAGGAGGGATCGGAATGATGTGTACACTTAGCGAGCAAGGGAAGCAGCTGGCCATCCAAGTTTCCAACATTTTGGGAATGGACGTGTGCGGCATCGACCTGCTCACCAAAGAAGACGGCTCCTTTTGCGTGTGCGAGGCAAATGCCAACGTGGGTTTCATCGCCTTCGACAAAGCCTGCAACATGGACGTGGCCTCCATGGTGGCCGACTACGCCATCTCCCTCCTGCCAAGCCGACTGACCAGACGAATGTCCCTCCTGTCCGTCGTGTCTAGCGCCAGCGAGACCAGTGAGCCGGAGCTCCCCGGGGTGACCTCCGTCCCAGGAGTTGACGTGCCCGCTCCACTGCTTCATCATCATGACGCCGGAGACAGCATGAGCGCCAGTTCGAGCTCTGTGGACAGTGATCCTGACACTGCCACGGAGAGGGAGCTTCTGACCAAGGGATCCATCTTTAACATGAACCAGCTTCTCGCCAGTGAAATCAAGCTTTTGGTGGAATAGATGGGAATGGGGGGGGGGGGGGGGGATGTGAAAAGTGGGTTGGGATTGGGGGGGGGAGGGGTGGGGGGAAGGGAGCCTGTTTGGGTCAAGCACGTGTAAATATTGAAAGGGCCATTACTGCTGGTGTTGAGGGGTGGGTGGGATGCGGGAGGGGTGGGGTTAATACAGGATCCCTGTTGTAAATGAGGCTGCACCACTGAGCTATGAGTTGGGGAGTGTGGAAGATGGGAGCTGGGAGACTTCTTCCATATTACCTTGGACGTGATGTTTAAAGGGGAAGTATATCGGCATATTTTTACTACAAATAGTTGAACCAAAATTAAAGGTAAAGTCCTCCCAAAAATTAGTGTGCCCCCCCCATCTGGCTTGTTAAATCTCATAGCCACCTGTGGAAGAGTCCATCAGAGGTGGGGTTACAACCGTAATAGAGCCAGCAATGCAGTACAAGCTATTGTCTGCATGAGAACAGCTCTCTGAGACCCTTAACAAGCTCTGGGGGACAGAGCCAGATCTATACGTTTGTTTTGCCTGATTATTTCAGTTCTCACATACAACTACCGTTTTCAGGTTGTATATGAATTTATCTGCTGCGGCTTGAGTGTTTCCACTTTTGGAAGAGCCAGTCCTTGGCTTTGTCGTGTCGCTAGGTGTGCGTGCTCCGTTTTTTGTGTTCACAAGACGTGCGATGCAACTTTTGAGCATTGCTGCACTTTTTGGGTTTTTTTGGTTTTTTTTAATAGTTTTATAACCCGTTCTCTCAAGATTGAGTTACATTTGGGTCTCTCGTATAGCTCAAGCACCCTATGATGCATTCTCTTGACAAGACCAGTGGAGCACATGGATGGAGCGACCTTTCTGTTGGTCTCTCATCCGCTCGTTCTGGTGGGAGTTGAGTTGGTGTCATAGTTGGAACCTCAGAGCTTTATATAATCCTCCGTTTTTTTTTTTTCCTTCAAGCTCCTTGATAGTTAAAATATACTTCACCTTTACACAACACCAAGTGTAGACAAGAGAGCATGGTCTATTTTAAATTTGAAGTTATGTTTGTGGCTCATCAGGGGACCTGTTCCCTGTGCGAGTTTCAAGCTAGCGAAGTGTTGGGCAAACGTTTTGCTCTCCAGCTGTTAAGGAAAGCTGTAATTAAGATGAAGGTACTTGGTATAATGTGGGATAAGATCTGATAGCGTTGCTGTGGTAATTGGATAGTTTGGCGATGACTTTGGAGGAAGCGTTCAACTCGTTCCACTTAATCACAAAGGGGAAAGCCAGACCACAAGAACGTAGCGCCTCGGCTCTCCCTCGTCCCAGATCCGATGGTGTGTGCAGGGTCGAAGCCGATGCGGCCCTCCCCAAGAAGGGAAACTTCAAGCAACACAGGAGGGCAAAAACGCCTAGTTCATTGACACCACCAAATTTTATTGTATAAAAAGTACCAAAAACATGAGCTCTAAGGGGACATGTCCTCCGAAACACGTCGTCCGCTTTCAAACCGCGGCTGTTTTGGCATCGCCTAAGCTGGAGTTGAGTGTTTTTGTACCTTCTGATGTTTGAGAGTATGTCTTTGGCACTTTTTGTACAATAAAATTTGGTGGTAATGCACTAGGCGTTTGAACTGCAAGTCCCCTAAACCGCTTTCAAGAGGGTGTCAAGTACCTTCACCTGCAGACAGGGGCGGACTGACAACTCATGGGGCCCCCGGGCAATGGGGGATCATGGGGCCCCTGTGTCCTCGCCCCAAACTCAAAGCCTATGAAAAAGGTACCATGTGGCATCTCATGGGGCCCCTGTGTCCTTGCCCAAACTCAAAAAAGCCTATGAAAAAGGTACCAGTGGCATCTCATGGGGCCTCCTACTGACCCCGGGCCCTCGGGCAGTGCCCCAGTTTCAAAATGATCAGTTCGCCCCTGCCTGCAGAGGATCTGAAGGGCTGTTGTGTTCTGAGCACTTATCAGAAATAGCAATGACTGGTTATGAAGTGAGGCGCTGCCATAGAACCAGTTGGGTATCCATAGCAGAACTGCAAACTACTTTTCCATCTCAGCATGGCAATGACTGATAAGGGTTCAGTTTTTACACAGCCCTAGATCCTTCCATGAAAGTCTCATTAAATGGAAAGAGTTTAACGTTCTCTTTTTGAAACCTTTTTTTTTATTTCTAACAGCAACCCAGAGATTCAAGAATGACACTGGCTTTTTGTCAAGGCTTGCTCATTAAAGATTTGATCACGCATCCTCCTATCAGGTCTTGGTCCGCGTTGTTCTGAATGTTTATTATGACCACTTTGTCCAAGTCTCAGTATGCTTTGTCTGCCACTTGGACTTCCTTAACATATGGAGGCCAGAGGTTACCAGTGCCCCTTGTTGGGCTTCACCAGCTGACCTGCTGTCTTTTACTCTCCTTGTATTGCAAGGTATGTTCACTGTAATCTGGAACAAGGACGCGGGCATTCGAAGAAGGGAGCTTTTCAGTATTGTGGAACGCTGGGCACTTAGAACAAGTGAAGCAGTAGGAGAAGTGGCTGGAAAGTTAATTTCCATCCTATGTTTTATCCTCCTGACTCACTTTGTATGGAGTGATGACACACTGAGCCGGGGTGGCCTGTCCTTCGTTCTGTGTCCCTTCTACAAGTTGCATGAACAGGTATTCGACTATTGTTACAATAACGGCGTACTAGGTGCAGGGAAAGATGGTAACCCCCGGCAGCTGTGAAAGTGATATTCCTGCCGAGCGTGTGGAGGCTCTAGGATTAGGCGAGGATGTCGGAAGTCTCCCCCCTAGACCATGGGTAGACGGCCTCGGCACTCAGCTGTTTTGAAACTACAAATCCCATCCTCCCTCTGGGAAGGCGATACCTGTGGCTGTCAGTCTTACTATGGGATTTGTAGCGTCACCACAGCTGGAGTGCCGTTGTTGGTTACCCTTGTTCTAGACCTTTCCCTCATTCAGTACCATTACAAAGAACATTGAGCAGTATTATGTGTATATACATGCAGATCTTGCTATATAAGGCGATTGCCAGTCTTCTCTATTCCAGTCAGACTGTTTACTGCTTGAATGTTACATATTGTGGGTCCCAAACGCAGTGATTTTCCCAGCAGCTTTAGCCTTTTATTTATCTGAACCTGCTTGCATCAATATCACTTTGTTAGCTTTTACTGGCTTGACAAGGACTTGCAATGGTTCCTCTCTTGGATTCGGCAAGTGGTTCAGTTAAAATTGCACATGATTCTTTAATGCCACATGGCTCGCTCTTAAAGTGGACTTGTCATTTAATCATTTGAGGTAGCCCTTTTGTGATCTGGAGTAGTAGCCTACTGAGAGGCTGGTAGTTAAAGGCATCACTGGGGCTTGTACACATGGGATTTGTTCTTGTGCTTGCATTGCACCTCCACGGAGTTGCTTTTGACACTCCAGGTGTCATCAGTGTGTTACTAAACCATCCAAAAATGGCGCCCTCCGGCATCCACATGGAAGTTCAAGTCACTTGTGTGTCTTGGAAGGTGTGTCCCTTTTTTTAGGTTTAATGGAACCCTATCCAGAGTTGGTATGTTCATCATTAAGAACGCACAGAATACGACTTGTGTATGGCCCCTTGGTGGCATCGCCAGTACTTGAGAAATCAAAATTTTGTGTTCCCAATATGACTCTATTTTAAGAGAATTCTAGGGTAATAACATATGGTCAGGTGGATGAGATGAAGTAGGGGTGTTAATCTGACTCGCCTCTTGGCCCCAGGCAAGTGATCAAGAGGTCTCACACGGAGTAATAGTTGCTTATGGTCCTTCCATTGCTCAGTTTCTGTGCAAAGTGAATCCACTTAAATCTCCTGACAACCATGCGACAAATGAGTCTCAGATCTTTGGTTTACTATACGAAGGCTTAGGAGATGGATCAGATTAAGACCCCTTCTTGACCTTTCCCACCTCTGTATACATTTTTATGGATCTGTGCTTCAATCGGTGCCTGCTTTTAGCTAAACTTCCCTCCTTTTTCTGGCTACGTCCTCCCCTTGTTTCCTAAAGAACCCTTTGCTGCTCATGAGTCGGCTGCTTCTTCTCTTGAGTTGTACTTGTTTGGATCCCTTGGGAGAAGATTAACATCTGAAAGGAGAATAGTTGGGGTTCTCAGCAACAAATCGGGTTCTCCCTTTCATTGGAGGCCTGTTCTCCCTAGGGACTTTTACCCATCAAGACTTTTATGAGTAACTTGGGAAGGGTGGTAGAAGAAGAGGGAGTTGCCTAAAAACTGGACAACCTCATAAATAAAAAAAAAAAAAAGCCCACTTTGCCTGCACCAAAAGCAGCCTTATTCTACCTTGCCGAAACTCCTGTACTGCTCAGTTCAGGTTCCCGGATGCCCCCTACGCTATCCCTTTCTATATATATATATGTATATATGTGCCCACAAGGCTAATTGGTTTACTTGTGTGTAACGCCTTTTTACCACCAGTATGTTCCTGATGCACACTGTGCTTTAGTCCAACCTCAAGTCGCGGTGTCACCGGCTGCAAAAGGAGTCGCGCGTCTCCCTCACTTTCATTTAACTCTGTCACTGCTGCCGTCCTGCAGTGAAAGCGTTAATAGCAGTGTTAAATGATGCTGTTTTTATTGCCTTTTGAAATGTGTACATTTTTTTTTTTCTTTTTTTTCAAAAAAAAAAAAAACCCGGATTGCTGCTTTTCTTTTTTTTTTAATATGTTGCACTGGATGGAGGGCCTGAGTGGGGGGAAAAAAGGGAGGAGGGGATCTAGCTATAAGGCAGGGCAACTTTTAAACCATTCCTGGTTCTACTTGTACTGCTAGGCACCAGACCCATTTATCAAACTTAAACCCACAATTATAGTGAAAAAATCAAGACCCAAAGAGATTACCCAAAAATAAAAAATAAATATATAAAAAAACAAAAATAAAATAAAGTCCCAATATACAAAGTGTCCAAACAAAGATCAATTTCTTGATAGGAAGACGCTTCCTACTCCACTGAAGACAGGCTGT